TGGGTTATGGGATATTTGCATTTTTAACGTCTCCCCCTTGCAGCATACGAAGAATGAAGAGCAGAAAGGAGGTGAAGTGGAGACTGTGCTCACTTTGCCCTCTTCGCTGGCCTCACGGTGAGGCCCTGCGTGCCAGGCTGGACAGGAGTGCAAGTCTGGATGCGCTGACCCAGGCAGCACCACGCTCATCACACTGCCTTGCAGGAAGACAGAACAGGGAAGCTACAGGGGCAACAGAACATGTCAGGGGACTGGAAACTGAAGCTCTACCTCTGCCACTTCCTAGCTTGGGAGCTGTGAGCATTGTCCTCTGACTCCCAGTGGAAAACAGATAGGAGCAATAGGAGTGCATGCTTCCTGCTCCACAGAAATGGCGAGAATCCGGGGCTCCTGGATGTGAGCATACTGTGTAAACTGTCATGTACTGTGCCAGAGCTGAAGATTACAGCGGAACCCAGAAAGGAGTCCATAGGCTGAGAATCGTTTAAGAAAAAGCATCCTTTTATTCTAAAATAATTTGCAAACATGAACAGATCCCCCAAAGCAATGGACAGGATTCAAATCCTGTTGCTCAGTCCAGAGCAGAACATATGCTGAAATGCGGTAGCCTTGTATTCTCTTATGTTTGCAGACTGAAAGGGTTCTGGGTCCATCTTGACTGCTTTAGAAGTTTTACTCACCCAATCATTCAAAAGTATTCAGTAGGCTTCAATTCATTAGTGTGCTCTACATATTGGAGGTTCAGCAGTGAGCAAAACAAAGTCTCTACCCTCACACTGGAATTTTCCCAGACCTGAGGACAATTCAGTTTTATTATTCCATCATTTCTACAGATATCAGTTTGCTAGCCAACATTATTTCAAGTTTTATTTATTTTCTCTGTTTTGGAGCACAGAGGAATCTGGTTGAAAGTCAGTCTTAGTAATACTGGCCTCATATCACAGTATTATCAGGACAGAAATCTTTTTGCAAACAAAGTCTCTGAAAGTATTTTCTTATTAATACACTAAACAAACATTTATTGAGCACCTCAGATGCACAGAAAATCGTGCAAGATGTTATGGGAACAGCACCATAAAGAAACAAATGATGCTCCCTTGGGATAATTTCAGTAGGGAAGACATGTTAACACTGCTTGAGAAGTCAGTATATGACAGGTACGGTCCCAGCTAAAAAATGCTAACCTCTACTGAGCACCTACTGTGTGCCAGGCACTAGGCTAAGTACTCAATTCTATCCTCACAAAAGCTCTGAGAGGTAAGCACTGTTATCATGCTCAGTTCACAGAGGGGGAAATGCAGGCACAGAGCGGCTAACGGGGCCGCCTCCACGCACAGTCTGCACCAGAGCCAGTGTGGACCACACCGCCTGTCCCCACTTTCTGTACTTGTGGCCTCAACACCGTGGAGACTGAAAGGAAGCCTCACAGGCAGAACCTGGAGGAGGAGTGTGTTCTCAAGGGAGAGCACCAGATGCGGGCTGAGAGGCCTGGCTGCCTGACTCCAGAACACACACTCTGGGCCTGCAGGGGAATCCCCCGTCTCTGGCTCTCCCAGGCCTCACCTGTAAAGTAAACTGGACCAGAGAGCATTTCGCTCTAAAAATGTTCAAAAACCTACAGATGAGACAAGCTAGCAAACTGTAACGCCCTTCTGGGCCATAACAACTGACTGCTCTGTCTGCGTCACAGCACCACATTATCTTTAGTCCTCTTCCAGAACTACATGCCTATTTGCTCTGCATCCGTTCTCATCGTGTTTTTATTGAGAGAAAGGGCTAGATAGTAAGTTCTGCTGTTTCTCCATTTTTTCAACAGCAGGATAATTGGTCTGTTGGACAGAGCTATTGGTCTGTTATCACGGGTTCCTCCCAACACATACTCAAGTGGTTACTGAGATAAATATAGATAGGGAGAGAGACACACACACACATAAATCATGGACACACAGCTGCACATACAGAGTCATAAAATAATTGTGCAAATCATAGGTCAGAACCCACTGGAGGTCATGTGTGTTACATTTGAGGCCTCATCAATACCATGTTATGCTTTTCTGGACTAACCAGCTCAGAATTGATACTATATATATTAAAATGTTTTTGTATTTATTGGTGTAATCTATAGAAGCTGATGAGGCATCTTCCAATTCAAGTACTCAATTATTTTAATAAAGTCAGGTATTATCTACATTATCACCAGTGCAGTGGTCTCCCATTATGGGTTTGGAACACTTTGTTAAAGGTAGTACCCTCATCTTGAATCAGCACAAAACTTTTTTTCAGTCTGCCTAGCAACATTTTTTACCTCAGCCATAAATTAAACAAAATGGTAACTGTATGACATTGGCCAAATTAATATGTGGAAGTATTCTGAGATTATTTTGTTTCCACAGCTGAAATCACTATTAAGTCATGTGCTTTGCCTTCCTCTATTATATTCTATCTTCTGAAGTTTTAGTACTTTTAATCTGTAGGCATTTTACTGGCCAACTTGTTATCTTGATCTGCCATACAAATTCTGCCTCAATTTTGTCATCTACAAGCAATATAAATTAGATATCTTAATTGTTTTCCTTCATCTTTTTGGTTTAATAGATGAAGTTTTATAATACTTTGGGCTGATGTATAAAACTTCTTCTTTTACCTCATGCAAATGTCCAAATTATATGTACATGGAGCCATACTGTATTGTCAACTGATTTAGAACGATTACTGCAAACATAGCTCCAGTTTTGAAATACATTTTTAACATTCTATTCATGGATAATGAAGTCACTTGCACATCACAGGAGCAGTGCCGGGTGGGGAGCTATGGGCCAGGTCCCGGCTATGGGCCCAGCCGCCGACTAGCCGTGTGGCCTTGGGTGGCTTATGCCCTCTTGTTGGGTCTTCGTAGCCTTATCTCAAACACAAAGAGGAAAGATTACCCCATCTCTAAATCTCCTTCAGCTTTTCTTAGTTTTTATTTAACTGTTACTTGGCTATTTTCTCTTCGTAGCAGGATGGTGGAGAAGGACCAAATTGCCTACCGAGCTGTAAGTATCCTAAAACGCTAACCTGAAGCTCTCGCTATAGCAAGCACTGCAAGCAATTGAAGGCACAAAACTGTTCGTCATGTTTTATACAAGATATTACCAAAGTCAGTTGTTCCTAGACAGAAGCATAGATGGATAAGAAGAACTCTCCAAAAGAGCCCTAGCTTTTCATAACCACAGTGAAATAATTTCCCTTTTGCAAAATGTAAAATGATGCTTAGGCATTATCATCTCTTTACGGTAACAGTGGTATTTAGATGAACAGCTGCAGTCCTTTAGGACATGTGGAAATAAAGAACAAGAAAAATGACTTGTCAGAGTGCCCTTGCTTTAGAAAAAAAGAAGTCCAGTACAGAAGCTGAGGGCAGAACAAGTTAGAGACAGTGCCGGCTAGTCAGGAACAATTCTGGACACTATGTGCTACGTGTGGTCACACTTCAACATGCCATCTTTGTACAAGGAGACCATCAGACCAATGATAGAAGTAGTTACAGTAGAAGTCACATAATTCAGCAAATAAGTTCAGGACCTATAAACATCTGTCTAACCTAAACTGTGTTAACATATACTGTTGACTTTTAAAATTTCTGGCAATGGCTGTCTGTATTCATCATAGAGGGTGACATACTTTTAGAAAAGTTTTAATTTCATCTCTCATTTTAATTATGGAGGTATAACACAACTATACCTGCTTGGACACTAGTGGTTTTTTTGAAATAACTATTAGATAAAACCCTTTTTTTATGATTTGTTAACATGCAGTGCACTACAGTATTTCCTTAAGTATATCTTGTATTATGAAGAGAATTGTGACTCTCTTAAAAATTCTGTCTCTGGGGAGGTGGCAGGGGCACAGCGTATTTCTGAGTGTATTGAGGCCCTAGATAAAATAAAGTGTCCAAATCATGAAAGTCCTATGATTTGACACTTTCATAATGGTTGTAATGTATACTGATGGTGCCACAATCACCCAAACTGTCAGAGATGGCCTACATGGCCTTGACAATGAATGGTCTTTTCTGACCAGTCCATCATATGTACCCTACCATTAAAAATTTAATTTTGATCTCTATACCCAAATTATGGCATTGATTGTTAGTGTTCAGCAATATAGTTGCTGGTTATAACCTTGGTTGTTTCAAATTACAATATTTATTTGTTGTTTTATACTATGCTTAGAATGTTGTATGACCTGTCAATAGAGAAAAAATCTAAATGAATCAAATAATTTGCTCGTTAACTGGAACAGATTTCTTGCATAGATGAAGTAAGCTACAGTTCACTAAAACATGAGGAAAGGAAATCTTTAAATCCAAAAGCAAAATCTGTACTTACCTGAGATGGCTGCCTCGTGGAATGTTGGAAAAAATTCTCTAAGACAGTATTTGGTATAGCCTTTCGAACTTCCTCTTTAATGCCTAATGTTTTAGCTAGAGGTGTAGCAATAAACCTACAAAAATATGAAAGAAAGTAAGTTCAAAATCTGAGAATGAATCAACAATGACACCAGAAAACTCAAGCAGAAACTTTGGCATTCAAAATGAAAGATCAGTCATTCATTCATGTTGTCATTGGGCTACCTACAGCCAACCAACTCTGCCTTGCAGAAGTTCAAGGACAGCACATTTTGAGACTTTCTTTATGAGCAATAACTTAAAAAATTAAATACTTGCACAGTTCTAAAATGCATTTTATGTAAATCTAGATACTTTTATACACAGGATCCAGAAAGTGGGATAAGCCATTCCACTTAGAGTTTTATTTCTAAGATTTCCAAGGATTAAAATAAAAAATAGTTCTGATATTAAAAGTTGTATTTGGTCATATTATTGCAAAGAAATTTTAAGTTCCTACTTAAAGTTCTAGCGTGTGGAAAAATGGTATGACTCTTGGGTAAATATCTAGGAATGGGACTGATGGGTGGTATGACAAGTATATATTTAACTTCCTAAGAAATTGGCAAACTGTTTTCTGAAGTGGCTGTACCATTTTGCGTTCCCACTAGTAATGCCAGAGTTCCAGTTACCCCATATCCCTGTCAGCACTTAGGATTGCTAGTCATTTCAGGTTCAGCAATTCTAGTGGATATGACTGGTTTTCACTGATTTTCCATTCTATTTCCTAATTTCTGCTTGTTATAAGTTTAAATTTCTGTTTTTCTAAGCTTACTAAGGTAGAAGTTTAGATTGTTTAAAGTCTTTATTCTTTTTAAATATAGGTCTTTATACTATAAATTTCATTGATGCTTTTGTTGCATCTCACAAATTTTGGTATGGCGCTTCCTTTTTCATTCGTCTCAAAGTATTTTCTAATTTACCTTGTGATTTATCTTCTGACCCATTGGTTATTTAGAATTATGCTGTTTAATTTCCACATATTTGCTAGTTTCCCGATTTCCTTCTGTTAATGATTCTAATTTCATTTCATTATAGTCAGAAAACATACTTTATATAATTTCAATCCTTTTACATTTATTGGGACTTGTTTCATGGCCCAGCATATGACCTATTCTGGAGAATGTTCCTTGTGCACATTGTCCATATGAGAAGAATGTATTCTGCTGTTACTAGGTGGTGTGTTCTGTAAATGTCTATTAGGTCTAGTTTGTTTACAGTGTTTATTGTGCCTTCTATTTCCTTGTTGATTTTCTGCTTAGTTATTCTATCCACTATTTTAAGTGAGTGTTAAAGTCTATACTATTACTGTTTAGTTGCCTATTTTTCCCTTCAATTCTGTCATTTTTTTGCTTCATGTATTTGGGACTCTGTTGTTAGATACATTAATGTTTATAATTGTTATATCTTCTTGATGGATTTACACTTTTACATTATAAATGTCCTTTGTTTCTAGTAACAATTCTAAAGTTTGTCAGAATCTAAATTGTCTGATGTTAATACAGCCACTCCAGTTTTCCTTTGGCTACTATTTGCATGATATATCTTTTCTACTTTCAACTTATTTATGTCTTTAAACCTAAAGTGTGTCTCTTGTAAGGTATACAGTTGGACCATACACTTCTATCCATTCCTCCTATGGATGCTTTTAGTTGGAGTATTTAATCTGTTTACACTTCATGTAAAGTACATTTAATTATTGATGAGACAATATTTATGTCTGCTATCTTACTATTTGTTTCCTATACATCTTATGTCTTCATTGTTTCTCTATTCTTCCATAACTATGTTCTTTTGTGTAAATAGAACCTTTGTTTACTTTTTTTTAAGTTATTTTCTTAGTGGTTAACCTAGGGATTACAATTAACATTCAGTTCAGATTAATACCAAAGTAAAAAATAAATATATTATTTATAGAATATTAAAAAATTCCATTACCTCCCCTTTCTGTGCTATTATTGTCATATTCAAGTTATTGTCTTGTATTCTCTGATTTCAGTCTGGAGGTCCCATTAGTATATCTTGTAGGATTGGTACACTAGCAACAAATTCTTCCAGCTTTTGTTTATCTGAGAATGTCTTAATTTTTCTTTTCCTCTTTGCCTTTTGACAATTTGTGATGTACCTAGATGTGGATCTCTTTAAGTTCATCATACCTGGAGTTTGTTTAGGTTTTTGGATGTGTAGAATAATGTTTGTGATCAAATTTGGAGACATTTTTGGCCATTTATTTCTCCAAATATTTTCCATCTTGTTCATTTTCTCCTTTTCTTCTGGAATTCGCATTACGTACATGTTGCTGTACTTGATGATGACCCACAGGTCTCTGAGGTCTTTGTTTTTCTTTATCCCTTTTTTTTTCCTGTTTCTCACACTACTGACTCTCCTGCCTGCTCAAACATGCTGTTGAGCTCCTCTAGTGAATTTTTCAACTCCTGAATTTCTATTGATTTCTTTTTATAATTTAGAATTTCTATCTCTTCATTGATATTATTGATTTGATGAACATTGTTCTCATTTTTCCTTTAGTTCTTAAGCACGGTTTTCTCTAGTTCTCTATTTAAAATAGCTAATTTAAAATCTTTGTCTAATAAGGCCGATAGCTAAGCTTTGTAAGGGACACTTTCTGTTGATTGCTGTTTTTTCTTGTGTGGAGGACATACTTTCATATTTCTTTGCATGCCTTATAATCTTGTGCTGAAAATTGGACATGTTAAATAATATACTGGAGCAATTCTGGAAATCAGATTTCCTTCAACCCCGCAACTCCACACAACCTCTTCAGACTTTTGCTATTTGTTGTCATTGCCATTTGTTCAGTTACTTTTTTGAACTTATTATCTGTGAAGTCTGTATTCTTTGTCATGTGTGGTCACTAAAGTCTCTATTAGGTTGGCTTATGAGTCATCTAATGATTAGATAGAATTTCCTTATCTTATGGAATCCGTAAGTTCCCTAGTCTTTGCCAAGGAGCTCTGTGTACATTTTGGGGCATATGTTCAACACTTGGCCAGACAGCTGACTTTAGCCTTCACTTCCTGTTTGCCCAGAACCTCAGGATCATCCAGAGGTGAGCGTTAAAGGCCCTGGGTCTTTGAGAGTGTGTGGATAGCCCTGGGCATGCCCAGAACTCTATAAATTCAAGTGGTCTGATTTCCAAGAATATGTCAAAGCTTTTTAGAGCCCCCTGAGGGCATCTTGCTTCCCAGCTTTTCTTCTAAAGCTTTTTTGATTACTCTATTTTTTGTGCCAATTATTGTCTTCTACCTTAGGCAGTCCCAAAGCAAATTAATTTTTTCTAATTGTTTTAGACAAGAACCTCCAGGAAAAAGGCTCTTCTCACTGGGGAATTCTTAGGTCAAATAAAGATAGCCTTGTGAGTACTGTCTTGCAGCAAATCACCAGACAGGTCAGCTAATGACACTTCTCTGGTAATGATGCTTTGAAGGACCTACAATTCTGTTTTGCCCCCTTCAATGGCTTCCAGGCTACTGGTTTCCAATGAAATCACAATGAAACACACCCTAGATTGTTATAAACCTTTGGTCAATTCTGAATTCTGAAAAGTCAATTTTGACAATTTTTGGTAGTTTTCCAACTGTTTTTATGGAGGAGAGACTTTTCAGAGGTCTTTACTCTGACATTTTTGTTAACTTCCATTGTAGTAGTGGTTTTAATTTGTATTTTGCTAATGACTAATGATTGGACATCTTTTCATCTGTTAACTTGCCATTGGTCTATCTTTGGTGAAGTGTCTGCTCAAATCTTTTGCTCATTTTTAAAATGAAGTTATTTCTTTGTTTATTATTGAGTTATGAGAGTTCTTTATATATTCTGAATTTAAATCCCTCATCAGATACATGTTTGGCATATATTTTCTCCCATTCCATCCATGACTTGTCTTTTTATTTTATTTATATCTTTTTAAAAATGGTTATTAAGGTACTTTTAAAAAAATATGGAATGCTTAACAAATTTGCATGTCATCCTTGCACAGGAGCCATGCTAATCTTCTCTGAATCATTCATATTTTAGTACATGTGCTGCTGAAGTGAGCACTACTAAGGCAATTCTTGCATATCATATAACTCACCTTTTTTAAGTATACTATTCAGTGATTTTTGTTTTTTTTTTAGCAAATTTACCAAGTGGTATAATTGTTACCATGAATCAGTTTAAACTTTAAAATCAAGAGTAAACATTCAAATATGATCCCTTATGTACATTTACCTTTAATCCCTAGTCCCTCTCACCCTTGCCCTAAGCAAATTACTAATATATTTTCTGTCTTTATAGCTTCTCCTTATCTGGATATTCCATATAATGGAATCATACAATATGTGGTTGTTTGTGTCTGGCTTCTTTCACTGAGCCTAGTGTTTTTGACATCCATCCATGTATTTGGGTGTATCTAGAGTTCATTTCTTTTTAATGTTGAATAATAATCCGTTGTATAGATATACACACTTATTTATAATGTCTTTTGAAGAGCAAACATTTTAGCAATGTATCAAGAGAAATAAAAGCATATGTCCACACAAATTCTTGTACTCAAATGTTCATAGCAATAGCCACAATTATTCATAATAGCCCCAAACTGTAAACAACCCAAATTCCTATCAACTAGTTGAAGGATAAATAAACTCTGGTATATCAATATGTTGAAACTATTCAGCAATAATAAGGAATCACTGATACATGCTAACAACATGAAAAAAATCTCAAAAGCGTTATGCTAACTGAGAGAAGTCAGATATAAAAGACTATAATCTATAGATTCCATTTATAGGAAATCCCAGAAAATGCAAAATTATATTGACAGAAAGCATATCAGTGATTGCCAGAAGCTAATAGATATGGAGAAGATTAACTGAATGAGGTAGAAAAAGAGTTTTAGCTGGACTGGAATCTTCTGTATCATAACTGTAGTGATGGTTATGTGGTTATACACATTTGTCAAAATGCATCAAATTTTGGATGAACTTTATATATATAAATCATACTTCTATAAAGCTTATTTTTTATCATAATGGTATGTCCCTATTCTTCCTTCAGTTCTAACAAAGACTCTGTACTCTACCAGGTTAGCCCATGTGTTTGTTAATTAGAGGCTGGAAATCTTAGTGATGAATGATCACTTAGCCCTTTATTTTATTCTTTTTATAAACATGGGAGTTGAATAAAAAATTTCCTAAGATATTCTGATAAAATGAATCAGCCAGTCCAACTTCCAGATGGATTAAGTTCTCCTGGAAATGACCCATATGTATCAGACATATAAAAATAAACAAATTATGCACCAGATGTACACAGAGCAATGTGGATAGATCATAAAACTGAGTGCTGTATTTTTAAAAAAAGAAGAAACCGAGTAAGGTCTTGTCACCATACTATTTATGTTAACTAACAATATACGCACTTACTGTTCATGCACATGTTTTACTGGGTCATACAAATAAAAAGTTATCAAATACATTAGAACCCAGCAGGAGGACAGGTGACTAGGAAATGGGAATAAAAGGTAATTAATGAAAAAGTTAATTCAAATCAATCAAAAGAGGTTTTATACAGACTAAAGACAGCATGATTTGATTTGAGGAATATGATTAATCGATTCCCCCTTTGCATAAAAGGTTGAAATAAAACAAAATAAAGATGCCCTGGAAATTAACAAAGCCTCAAAAAACTATTTGATAGGGCTTTGGAGAAATAATGGAATTAGTTCATTTTTCCTAACTCCTAGTTGGAAATTTTTATTGGTGAAAACACCCATTATTTTTATTATTAGGAAGCACAAATACGAAATAGTTTAATATGGTAATGGATTCTCAATCATATTCACTCAATGCTATCACCTCGAATGAATAAGTTAAGAAAAATAAAAATGTCAAATCAGAGTTAAGCCAAAGAAGATTTACTGTAAGTAAGGAATTACAACCAATCTCAAAGCCAAACGAAGCATAACATTCTCCTCTCCTAAGGGTCATGTGAGAGGTTAGTATATGGATAAGAATGAACTGTGGATAACTGTACACATCCACAGCATATTTGATGATATAAGAAGCAAGTTTGTATATTAAAATCATTAATTCAAACAAGAGGGAAAAATATGGTTCTGTTCTTAACATGTCCAGCCTTCAAGAACAGATATAACATTTTTAATAGAACAGGGGAGGTATATAATTACAGTTTTCTACTTCAGCCTTACCCTTCCTTTTCAAGCAAATCAATCCCTTCATCTAATTTAAGTGTAAATAAATGTGAATAGGTACACTTAATATAAAATCTATTTTGAAAAAGGAGAAAAGAAAGACAATGAACACTTGATAAAACTAACTGAAAAGAGAAGGGAAATGACAGATCTTAGTGCTAAAAGAACCTTAGAGATTAACTTGTCTGAATTTTCATTTTATTGATATGAAGTAGAGAAAAAATCTTAAAGTAAGAAAAAAGAATTGAATTTCTGCTCCCATGTAAATGGTTCAAAGTTAGGTTACTTACCAGGGAATGACTCTCTTAGGTTAGCCTCTACTGCAGAACTTAGCCTTCAAGAGGCCTCACTCAGGCACCCAGACAACCTCCTCTTTGTCTAGCACTATGTCAGTTACCTGTGAGCTAAAATTCCAGCAATCCCAGATTCCCCTTTTTTCGATATTATTTTATAGAATTAAAGGAAGGCAGCCCTTGGCAGATATCAAGCATGTGAAGTTTAAGCACTTTTCCTAAATAGAAACAATAACCTACTGGCATAAGATTGACTCCCAGTTCCTAAGTATTCAAAGGCTCTTCGAGCAGGGTTTAATCAGAGGGTTTTATATGAGAGCACAAAATATCTGGAGCCACGTAACTCTCAGACAGCACTTAAGTCTAACGTACATATTTTGAGACTATTTCAATATAGGAAATTTAATAACAATCCTTCTTCAGCTCCTGTAAATTGCTAAAGATGGGATGCTCCACCTAGCCTTCTTTAAAGAATGATGTACGTACTAGTCCATCATGCCATTATGCTACTCAGCAGATATGGGAAAGTGGGGAATGTATTCTTTTCACAATTAAGTAAAAAAAAAAAAAAAAGATTACCTTCTGATTTTACCATGTCCACCCCTGCTTTTAACTCTTCTAGAACCACAATTTACTCTGAAATAATGTGTTTATTCCATAAGTGTTTAAATTTGAGTACCTTAGATTCCTCTTAAATCACACTTCAGACACATTAAAGAATGCCCAGAGTTTGGATAAACTGCTATTCTGGACTGCCAGCCACCACAGGGGGAAAAAAAAAGTAAAAAAACACACAAACTACAACTAAAATTTGTAAGGGAAGGAAATCCTAAATACAAAGTTAATGTTAGTCATTTGCAAATTATCTACTTCTTTGTTCTTCATCATTAATGTTCTTTGTTCTTCCAGATTGTAAATGTGTCCTGCCTGGCTAGTACTAAAAGATAAAAATGAGCCAGCCAAATCACAACTCCCGGCCACTTCACAGAATGAAAAGGTATGACATAAACACAGTATAGGACAAAAGAAGGAAGCTTTCTTATGATAAATGTCATAATAGATGCTGAAACATGGTGTCAAATTTACATGAATTTTTAAGATATTTCAGAAAATTTCATATTTACTATCATTCTTTAAGCTACGTCTTCCGCATTTCTAAAAGATACTAATTTACTCTCTTCTGCCTGTAAGGTTGGAGGCACCGGAGGGAGGGGTGAGCACGTCGGACACTGATGACGTGCCAAAGTCCCCGGCTGCTGCCCCCTCCCAACCTGAAAGATGTGCCTCAGGCCAGCCAATCCTCGGCCGCTATAAATCTATGCTCTGCCTCCCCCTGCCTTCTTTAAAAACTCCCCGCCTGTCTAGTTGTGCGCGACTTCCCCAGCCTGTATTAGCGCAGACTGGTGGACCTCGCCTGGGAATTGCACTCAAATAAACGGCCTGGCCCTTTGTTGCCTCTCGTCACCTGCTTATTTCAGTTAGAATTTATCTTACACTGTCATAAGCGGTATTTCACTGGGAAAGTCCAAGAAATATTGGTATAATGGGAAAATTAAAAAATAACCATGAACCTGGTGTTATAACACAGGGGTTCAAGTCCCAAATCTACCCTTTACATAGTAGCTATGTGACCGTGGCCAGATCACTTATCCCTCATTTTCTTAACTGAGATCATATCACTTGTGATTTTATAAACCTCTTAAACTGTAAGTTTTTACTCAAATGCAAGGTATAAGTCATTTTATTTTATTTATAAGTGGTTTAACCTATTGCAAATGATATAGAAGCCCTGGGAAAAAAATAAACATATTTCAAAAAGCATGATCTCCCTCCTATGTCAAATTTTCCTTCCTTCTATTACATTAAAAGACATGTGAGACTAGTGGAACAACACATGACTTTCTGCAGTCATGGAATGGAAAAAGCTAGGATGAGCTGCTGGGAGTTAAAGTTATAAGGAGAGATAGTAAAGATAATATAGACTATACTTTGAGACTACATTTAATTTGGGAAGAAGCAAGATTGGTCCTAGGAATTAAAAGAGGGCTGGATTCCTTCCTCACTGTTGCTGGAAAGGCCAAGACCAAGACTTAACAAGTTAGTCCTTCACAGCTGTACCGCCTTGGCAACCAAGAAGATCCCTTGTCTTGATCAAAATGTAAGAAATGGAGCTGTTCACCAAAAAGTAGGAAATCTGTAGTGCAAACAAGTAGAGGACCTAAATATCAAATTCAAAGATCACTAGACACCATGGAAGAAAAGCACATATTTCAGGAGAGTTCATAGTAATTTGCTAACTTGGAAGTGCAGTGGCAAAATTCTACTTTGTTTAATGCATTCTTTGGCAAATCCAAACATGCGAGTAAAAATTAGAATTAACTGTCAAAAAGTAAGACCATTTCAAATATTCTCAACTAGAGTTTACTGGTATCCAGGGGGTGTTCTCTTCCTCCCTAGCAACAGTACATTGTTGGCCCACATGAAGTTATTTGTATAAAAACCTTCTGTAGAATCCATGAAACAGAATTGGTCAAACTAACTCCCAAGATAAGAACCCTGCAAATGGTTATAAACATATGATCTGCATTACAGCTAGTCTTGGACAAAATGATCTTTATCAAACTTTGTCTTAAGTTTTTCCAACTCTTGACATTCGAATATTCTTTTTGCTCCAAAAAAAAATGAATGTGCTAATAACAGCTTTTTGAAATAGAGACAACTGCAGAGATTATAGATGAGCATTTATCTCTTGTTATCATAACACTAGTATGGTTTAAAACATTGGAAGTAGTACCTATTTAAATTAAATTAAGAGAAAGAAGTTAACTTTTTTTTTTAAAAAGCAAATTCATATTTTTTTCTTTGTTTTCCTTCTATTTGGAATGAAGGGCTGCTATTAAAACTTTCAATAAACCTTTAAAATTAACTATGGTATAAAGCAATAATAAGTTTGGTCTTTAATGAGCCATTTTTGCTATTTCATAGGCATTTCTAAGATGATAATGCTTCTCCTAATCATAGACTCTTCTAACACTACCTTTCTGGGAATGCATGCCCTTTGTCAGACAATGTGGTATATAGAAGATGAACTGGGTTCTGGTCAGTCATTGACACTAAGAAGCTCTGTGATCCTTAACTTCTCTTGATCTTAATTTTTTTAACTGTAATTTTTCATCAAGGAAAAATATTTTTCCCCAAGGAGACTGTGCTCCTTATTTTTATTTGTTCAGCTTGTAGATAACACATGATGTGCATTTGATTTGATGAACTCTCCCAAGAATCTGCAGCCCAATAATGACAACTTCTGAAAAACCAATTCTTTAAGAATCTCATCAAAATCCCATTATTCTGGTGTTGGGCCAAAGAAGGGAAATGGGAAGGAAAGACACACAAACATTACTTACTTTTCAAAGAAATGTCTGATTATCAGCAAGACGAAAGCATATGGAATTGTCATATATAAATGAGAAGCTTTTACAAAGACGAGTCCATCATGATCGTCAAGATCTGACCACTTTATTGTTGGAGGAAGCCAGAATCTTTCCAACCAAAACCATTCTTTAAACGACTGAAACATTCTAGAGAGATGGAAAAAGAGTACATTAGACTTATATTTATAAAATAAATACCTAAAATTGAAGCAGCATTGAGCATCTCTACTCAAAATCCCTAACTCAGAGAGTTTTGAAAAAAAGACAAGAATGGAATACTATTATTTAATGGGTTTCATGACTCTTTATTGCTTTAAACAAGAATCACTCTGCCAATACTCTCAGAACACCTTTGGCCGTGGAATGGCACACGGTTTAACACACCAGTGTTCACACTTTTGGTACAACATACATTAATACTATGGGTACGTGGTATGTGTCTTCCTCTTACATGATTCTACGGTATGAAAAATTATTTAATGATAATCTGTACAACTTCAATGTGCCAAAGGCTAACCTCACAGCAGCTCCAAGTAAGCATAAATCTTCACTGGTATCCTAGAGAACTCCTCTAGGAGATAAAGGACAAATAATTTCACTTCATAGTTTCATATTTATTGAGATTCTGTTACTTGTCAACACTGTGCTATGCACTGAGGACACAAAGATTCAAAAGACAATGCTCTTGCCTTGTGGAACTTATAGTCTGGTGGGCAAGGCAGGCCTGAATAGACAACTTTGACACACTTTTTCCTTCGGTACAATGAAAAAGGCATATACAGAGTGCTGTGGGAAGAAGATGGTGGACACCGAGCCCAGTCAAGAAGTGTCAGAGAAAGATCACTGGAATAGATGATCTCTAAGATGTCCTGAACAATCAGTAGAAATAAATAAGGGAAAGGCAGGAACATGGAGAGGAGGGAAAGAAGTTTTAAGGAGAGAAGGTACTGTGATCAAATAACCAGAAACCTAGAAAAGAGCAGAATTAGATATTGTAATCTTATTGTTTTGGCTATGACAATTTTAATCTTGACATTAGGATGTTTTGATATTAATCTTTTAAGAGCTAATCAGTTAAAAGAAGTCAAAATGTCCTCAGATTCACAACAGGGTCATCAAAATAACTCTATCAAAGCCCCTTGGTTTGTAAATAATACAGTGCCTGCAGAACACTGGCAGCACTTTGGTACTACCACTGTGTAGGAATCTGAGGTGTGGGATGGTGGGTCACACATGCATGCCCAGTCCCAGTTCATTGTTCTAGCATAATTATTAATAGACCTCTTTCTTTCAGAAGTGCTCTGGCTTGAACAATAAATCATACAGTCACTCTCATCAAATGTCTGGTGAGATAGGTAGGATTTGGTCATAGAGGGACTGCAATCCATGGTAAGGAGCTCAGAATTTGGCTAATGACATCTACTGAAGGGTATTATGCAGAGGAATAAAATGGTCAGATATTTAGAAAGGTCATTTTGTCATCCAAGTCCTGTGTGAGCCTATGTAGTGTCTGTGCTACTTAAAGAATGGTGTCCCCTCTGGGCAGACACAGCCCTTCCGCCCAGTGGAACAAGGGCTGGACGTCAATCCCTACATGCCCCCTGGCCAGGCACAGACTTGACCACTGTGGAGACAGTGGTATGGAGTACGCTTCAGGAGACAGAAAGACCAGAGAGCAATTAGGAGCCCAAAGCACTAGACACAGGTAGCAACAGGAAGGCGTGCACTAGAGCAGGGGCAGCAGGAAACAGAATATGCTGACAATGACATTGTGCAATTATTCATGAGATTCAAACTGGGTAGATAATAAGGGGAGTCCAGAAAGAAGAGAGATTGAGGGGTGGGGGTGGACAGAAAACTCAAGGGAGCAGAGGTCAAAGAACACATGTGGTGGGAGTGGGACTAAGGGCCCAAGGAGCAGTAAGACTCCAACAGAGGTGTGGATCTGAGTAGAAGATGACATTACACAGTTCCGACCTCAGTTGATGAAGAATTCCAGAGCATGGACCCTAGTATCCTTCAGAAAATTCTATACCAAAACCAACAACTGAACCCTGGTGAGATAATTCCCTACTTCATTTCATCTCTCCTCTGGTGTTAAGAGACATGCTCACTGAAAGCAGCACTAACTCAATCACACCCACACCTCAAGGCATGTGGAGAGAAAGAGAAAGGCTGCCTTCTTTTCGTGTATTGATCATTTTACAATTTCTACCCTGGAGGAGGGTGAGACCCATTAATACAATCACAAAACTGTGCAAATATGGAAGAACAAAGGTAAGATTGATTTAGTGAATACTTCATCTCTCTCAGGTTTTGGGGCTACAGGAAGGAAAGGGGTCACCCTGGACTTGAGGGACACATAACTGAGTCAGGACTCAGGTGGGTCTGAACTTGGGACGAGAAGCCAGACTGATAAGAGAGTTGTTAGGAAGGAAGAACTGACACACTTTGGTAAGGAAGCTGAGGCTTCAAGCTTGTTGCCCAGGTCAGCTGTCAAAATGGACCAAGGGAAGAAATTAAGGGAGAAAATTCACTTTGAAGGGCACATCCAGATATGGCTCAGAAAAGGAAGAGGCACAAATCTTTGAGTCTGACACCAGATAAAATCCAAACTTTCTACAGATCTTAGAATTGAACACAGGCCATAGGAGTCTCTCTGTAACAGACAAGCCTTGTACCAGGCCTTGTCCATCACTGCATCAGAATAAGTTATGCCCACAAAGGTAAAGATACTTTTTCCTAGAAGTCTGTCTCTGCGTGTTTATGTGACTGGCTCCAAACTTAACAGAGTAACACTCAGGGAACAAAGAAATGGCAATGAATTAGTTTTTATGTTGATATTGCTATAATAATTGTTATACAAAATAGTTTACTCACTAGTAAACTATTCAGGCAGTCCATATTATTTTGTCTAGTGTGACATATAAATAAATAAATAGCTTATAATGGTTATGTAGGGATTGCCATGATAATGCCCTTGCACATTATATTCAAGCAATGAATCAAGATCTGTTGCAAACCATAGTAACTTAAATACCTTACAAGCAAAAACATTTAAAGGGAGATAGAAAGAATTCAGAAGTTGAGAGTGGGGCCATGGAAAATATAGTACAAACTGAGAAAAAAATATCTGTATTACTAGCCGCAGCAATCACACAACACAAGACATCCATATTGGTAAGGAAGAAGTTAAAGTGTCACTGTTGGCAGATGATGTGATATTATACATAAAAAACTCTAAGGAATCCACCCAAAAACTGCAGGATAGAAAATTAATACATAGAAATCTGTTGCATTCCTATATACTAATAATGAACTAGAAGAAAGAGAAATCAGGGAAACCACTCCATTTACAATTGCATCAAAAAGAATAAAATACCTAGGAATAAACCTAAACAAGGAGGTGAAAGATCTATACCCTGAAAACTACAAGGCATTTATGAGAGAAATTAAAGACACCAGTAAATGGAAATACATCCCATGCTCATGTATAGGAAGAATTAATGTTGCCAAAATGGCCATCCTGCCTAAAGCAATCTACAGATTCAGCACAATCCTTATCAAAATACCAGCAGCATTCTTCAACAAACTAGAACAAATAGTTCTAAAATTCATATGGAACTAGAAAAGACCCCGAATAGCCAAAGCAATCCAGAGCCAAAGCAATAGGACAAAGCTGGGGGGATTATGCTCCCCAACTTCAAGCTCTACTACAAAGCCACAGTAATCAAGACAATTTGGTACTGGCACAAGAACAGACCCACAGACCAATGGAACAGCATAGAGAGCCCTGATATAAACCCACATATATATGGCTAATTAATTTTGATAAAGGAGTCATGGATATACAAAAGGGAAATGACAGCCTCCTCAACAAATGGTGTTTGCAAAACTGGACAGCTACATGTAAGAAAATGAAACTGGATTATTGTCTAATGTCATACACAAAGGTAAACTTGAAATGGATCAAAGACCTGAATGTAAGTCATGAAACCAAGAAGCTCTTAGAAGGAAACAGAGGCAAAAATCTTCTGAATATAAATATGAGCAAGTTTTTCCTGAACACATCTCCTTGGGCCAGGGAAACAAAAGCAAAAATGAACAAATGGGACTACATTAAATTAAAAAGCTTCTATACAGCAAAGGACAGCATCAGCAGAACAAAATGGCATCCTATAGTATAGGAGAATATATTCATAAAAGACTTATCTGATAAGGGCTTAACATCCAAAATATATAAAGAGCTCACATGCCTCAACACCCAAAAACCAAACTCTGTTAAAAAATGGATGGAGGATCTGAACAGACACTTCTCCAAAGAAAAAATTCAGATGGTCAACAGGCACATGAAAAGATGCTCCACATCACTAACCATCAGAGAAATGTAAATTAAAACCACAATGAGATATCACCTCACAAAAGTTAGGATGGCCAACATCCAAAAGACAGAAACAACAAATGCTGGTGAGGATGCAGAGAAAGGGGAATCCTCCTACACTGTTGGTAGGAATGCAAATTAGTTCAACTATTGTGGAAAGCAATATGGAGGTTCCTCAGAAAACTAAAAAAATACCATTTGACCCAGGAATTCCACTCCTAGGAATTTACCTGAAGAAAACAAGATCCCTGATTATCACAGCACTATTTATGCCAACATATGGAAGCAACCTGAGTGCCCATCAGGAGATGAATGGATAAAGAAGAGGTGATACATATACACAATGGAATATTATTTAGTCATAAGAAGAAAACAAATCCTACCATTTGCAACAACATGGATGGAGCTAGAGGGTATCATTTTCAGTGAAATAAACCAGGCGGAAGAAAATGATTTCACTCCTTTGTGGAGTATAAAAACAAAGCAAAATTGAAGGAATGAAATGGCAGCAGACTCACAGACTCCAATAAGGGACTAGTGGTTACCAAAGAGAAAGGTTAAGAAGGGAGGGTAGGGAGGGAGGGAGGGAGAAGGGACTAAGAGGCACTATAATTAGCACTCACAATATAGGTAGGTCACAGGGAAGGCAGTGCAGCACAGAGTAGACAAGTAGTGACTCTGTGGCATCTTATTCCACTGATGGAGAGTGACTTCAGTGGGGTGTGGCGGGGGAGACTTGATAATAAGGGTGAATGTTGAAACCACA